ATTGCAAGATGATCCATGCATGCAATGACCATCGTCACAAAGAGACTTTTGACTTACGCATCGATCACCCTGTGAAAAGAATGTCTCTATAAGTAAATCTTTGAGAACTGAGGCCTTTTTCTGTTATACATTCATTGACTCCTCAAATGCTTAGCTCCATCTGAGAGACAAAATAATGGTTCAAGCTCTAAAGAGAGCAAACATCTTTTCTTTAATATCAATGCTACGTTTTGGAGTTTCTTTGTCACTTGCAAGGGGTCAGAAAACACAGGAAAGAGAGCAATTCATCAATAAAAAGAAAAAAAAGGAATTAAAGTGCTGGTCAGTCATTTGTAGACAAGTGATCARAGATAACCTACTATCCATCCAGAAGTACAATTACAAGTGCCATTCACGTGATCACAGACGGCATTTTCTGGACATGCGCATTGGAAAGTACAGTTCTGACCATAAGAACCGGAATAACATGGCATCTCACATCTACATAAAAAAACCCAGTCCAATTGATGTTTCACTGTTTTGCTAACATCAACAACAATAATTTCATCCAGATGCTTACAATTACAAAAGTAATAATGAACTTGAATTAATTTGCCTCTTTTACCTTTCACTATGATATCCTGGTGCGCATGTGCAGTTTCCACTAATGACGTCACAGACTGCACCATTTTGACATTGGCATACACTTTGACACTTGTCTCCATAGTAACCCTGATCACATGGTTTATCACAATACTTTCCCTCCCACCCTGGGGTACACGAGCAGTCGCCAGTATGAGGTGAACATKTAGCGTTGTTTTTACAGAGACAGTCGTACTTGCAGTGGGCACCCCACTTGTGTGGCGGGCAGTCTGAACAAACAGAAAGTCGGTGTTTTAGTATCGATCTTGTGAGCTAGTTCATTAGATAAAGTATTTTAAACTGCAGCATGAGTTATCGTTTTTATACCTCTGTCACACCTGTTTCCAGAGTAACCAATACTGCACTTGCAGACATTGGGCTTAGCGCAAACACCGTTAACACAGCCTTGACTACAAATGGCTGAAACAAGAAAAGATATCATTGTTACTTTTTTTTCTGAAATGAAAATCGGAAAGTGATAGTTTTTCAGACCTGTGTTGCACCGGCTTCCAGAATAACCAGTTCTACATCTGCAGACATTGGGCTTAGCRCAAAYACCATGTACACAACCTTGACTACAAATGGCTGAAACAAGAAAACTATCATCGTAAACTTTTTTTTCTGGAATGAAGATCGTAAAGTGATAGTTTTCCATACCTGTGTTGCACCGGCTTCCAGAATAACCAGTTCTACATCTGCAGACATTGGGCTTAGCGCAAACACCATGGACACAACCTTGACTACAAATGGCTGAAACAAGAAAAGTTATCATTGTAACGTGTTTTTTGTCTGAAATGGAGATCGGAAAGTGAACGTTTTCCATACATGTGTTGCACTGGTTTCCAGAATAACCACTTGTACATCTGCAGACATTGGGCTTGGCGCAAACACCATGGACACAACCTTGACTACAAATGGCTGAAACAAGAAAAGTTATCATTGTAACGTGACTTTTGTCTGAAATGGAGATCGGAAAGGGATATTTTTCTATACTTGTGTTGCACCGGCTTCCAGAATAACCACTTGTACATCTGCAGACATTGGGCCTAGCGCAAACACCATGGACACAACCTTGACTACAAATAGCTGAAACAAGAAAAATTAATTATCATTTCAAACTTTTGTTTGGAATGAAGATCGGAAAGAATTTTTCAGACCTGTGTTGCACCGGCTTCCAGAGTAACCACTTCTGCATCTGCAAGTGTTTGGTCTTATGCAWGTACCTTGCACRCATCCTCGACTACAAATGGCTGAAACAAAGTTATCATTGTAAACGCTTGTCTGAAATGAAGATCGGAAAGTGATAGTTTTTCAGACCTGTGTTGCACCGGCTTCCCGAGTAACCACTTCTGCATCTGCAAGTGTTTGGTCTTATGCAAGTACCTTTCACACATCCTCGACTACAAATGGCTGAAATCAAAAAATGTTTCTCTTCTTTGAGTTTTCCTATTTACGAGTATGTGAGAGACGTTTCGGTCGATAAATCGACCTTTATCATTGCGAAAAAAACTATTTCTTATATCAAGATCAAGTTGATTGAAATATTCGTAAAACTAATWCTATAAGAATTAATTTTCTAAGCAAACATAAAATAAAGCATAAGGCAAATGTCCAAGTAAACCAAATTCGCACAAGTGAAAGTGACTGTCTTATACCTCTACTGCACGTATTTCCAGAGTAACCAGTATTACAAGAACAGACATTGGGTCTTGTGCAAGTACCGTGGACACAACTTTGACTGCAAATGGCTGAAAAACAGAAAGTTATGGCATGGYATGATTTTGTTCTTTCAGTTCCAACTAACAAATGATACGCTGCAATGCACACTGCATCCTTTTATCATTTTCATGCTCTTTTTACATTACTTAGATAGCTATACTAACCCTGAGGACATTCGTTCCGTACTTGTCTCCATCCAGTGCAGCATTCGTACTCTGTTTTGTAAGATCGTCTTGTTTCTTGRCGGTATTCAGTAGAATATGCTGTCCTTGATAACGCACAAGTTATGTTTAGAGAAAATCGACGGTATAGTGTCGTAAATCAAGACAAATCTCTTGTTCATACCTGTAACGTGTGCATCTTCCCCAGCCTAAGAAACCGCATGACGTTTTGTAACTAACTTTTCTTGTGTACGTATAAGTTGTCGTGTAGTAGTGAGTGTAGCTTTTATAAAAACAAATAATTTGCTAAGGTTGTTATTATCCACACATTCACACGTATTTCATTTTTATTGCGCTGTCTCAATTTTCCAAAATAAAGAAACAGTGCAAATGGATTCAGCTAGCCAATAATGCATTCATGGTTTCCAGTTTGCTCACATAATACATTAGGCTTCATCGTCGTTTCTTCCGCCATCTTCAAAGGTAACAGAGGAGTGTCTTTGCATCAAAGTGATAGGACCGTTGAGCGTGCAATGATAGATACCTGTGATAAATTTCGTATCTATGCGGAGGAAGGTTTTTATCATTGAACACTCATCTCGCTTTGCACAATTAAATKATATTTAAGAGCACAATACGCAGGGAACGGTACGAATAGTATTGACTAACGATTCAGCTCTAGTGCGCAAGTGCATGAAGGCTTTCAACAACAGAAAGAGATAAACTAGGGTTAAAAAAATCCGATTATTTAACAAATTGCATATGAGCAGGACAAAGGGCTTATTCACGCTCATTCACTCTTAATGAGTATAATAAACTTAGCTTACGACAAGAGGTCGGCCGAAAATGCAAGAAGGTGTTTAACCCTGTTTCACCGAAGAACGATTGTGTCATTTTTTTGTGTGAAAATATTGAAACTAAAGTTTTCCTTCTTTTTAACAGAAAATGAAATGCCAGTATGAATATCTCAAGATTCTGTTTGACTCGCTTCAAACGCTGATTCGACGCTCAGCCCAATTAATATCCGATGCAACAAGACGGAAAATTCCTCTTGTCTTATAGACTCACACATTTTGAAAACTGATATTCAGGAAATGGAATGATACTGAAAATGACGACATTTTGTTCTATGCCGCATTTTTCATATGATGAGAAATACGTCTCTCTAAAACTACACTTTTCAAAAACATTTTTAGATTCAGTTTCCTCAGGATATTTTTGAAATAGACCTCAAATTCTTTTGGAGTGCAAATGCTTTTTGTAATGATAAAGCAAACAGACAAAAAAGATCAAGTAATCTTACCTCACTCTTTTCCCGCACACATTTGCTCCATTTGAATCTAATGTCCTCCATGCTTGKGCGTTCTGAGGGATATTTAGCACAATAAACAACACAAGATAAACACKTTCAATTAAACCATTAGTGCGCATTTTCGGGTCCATGTGATGAGAACTTATCGTTAAAAGATCAACAGGACTTTGCCTAGATGTCTTGTCTTGTCGTCTTGTCCGCCTATCCAATGGCCTCTCCCCTTAGGAATGATTATTGACGCAAAGACAATAGATTTCGTAGCAGCAATAAAGATTATAACGTTTTTGAAGTTTTGTGCTTGTGTTTTATCACAAGATACCGAAAAAAGCGAAAGAAGCTTGTGGTTTTCCTCGCTGCGATTCGCTCTTTCCTTGACAGTAGATGTCTCAGTTGACGATTTAGACAGCTGTATGTCATGAGGATGGGCCAAGGAAGTACAGCATACCTGACATTCGGCTTCAACTGAATTAATCCAGTTTCAAATCTCTTAAATGTGAGTCTTTCGGTTGTGTCGTTATGTTCAGCGAGAAAAGAATTTTTTGCAATAAAGTTTTTTATAACAATCTTTAACATTCTAAGACAATATTAATCATGATTATGGACTGTGAAAGGGCATCGCATCATTTTGTAAACCCACCCTTCATGCACATTTATAACAGAATATCCAAATACGGTAATGATTTCTTTGCGTTCCAGTGTCTTCAGTAATCTCGCTATTGCAATGCAACGTCAAAAGCGAATTTGTACTAAGGACAATTTTGGATTATGAAATAAACGATCATTGCGCGGTCTCCTTTTTGAGAACACATGCTGAAACTCATTAAAACAAGGTGAAGCTAGAGGAAAAGCACTTGAACCATGAAATAAAAACAACCTAGTTACTAACTATATTAGTCGGTATTTAGTGACTTAGAGCGGATTTCGTTACTGTGCAACGGCACGGATCACAACACGGCACGGCACGGTCACCGGCGGAACCTCGCCTTCTAGGATTCCAAATAAAAATAAAGATTTAACAATACATCACCRCTACGGCACGGTACGGTCACAGCACGAAATACCGTGTTTTTGCACAGTCATACGAAATCCGCTCTATAGACATTATCACTGAACCAAAAGCAGTTTATCTGAAGGAAGGAAGGAAGGAAGGAAGGAAGGAAGGAATGAAGAAAGGAAGGGGAGAGGGAGCAGCAGTGAGGAAGGGAGGGAAGAAGGGAGTGGAGAGAGGGGGAGGAAGGGTGGGGGAGGGACGAGGGAGCAACAGCTGTGAGGCAGGGGGTTAGGAACACGTAAACACAAACTAAAACCATTAAAAAAAGTAACTTTTAGAAAACAAACGAGTATGTTCATTTGATATACTTTGCTTTGGCTYATTCATCGTGCGCCGCCATGTTGGATGAAAGAAACAACGAGAATTCCATTCATACATGATGGTTAGCGATGGCATGTTACATTTAAATTGTCTACATCAAGAATATACAAGCTTGACAACAAAATGATGTTCATGAGAAATTGCATAACTGTGATCTATTTGTTATCACCGTCGAGCAGCTTTGATGAGTTCATGTAACCACTCTCATGTAACTATCCTTTCGGTGTGTTTTTTTTTGCAGTATTCTATGGTTTTGTACACGTCAACATTGTTCAATTGAATGAGCAAAGACCCTGATATACGAAACCAGCGTGCAGCAATAACTAGACAATGAATCATTAAAAATCATTAAAAATCATTTGATACTAAATGCAAAGGAGTGTTTGACARTTTTGTGATGACTAACAAATAGATTCCCCGAGGGTGAACTCCCTTATAAAAAAGGGCGGGGGCCCTCGTCGGAAATTCTAAAAATGACCCCTAAAAGGGACCTGTATTGTGAGATGATGGGCATGGCAGTGCTGAAATTTCACTAGGACCAATTATTTATTTATTTGTGTTTTTGCACAAGAATCAAACGCTGTTGGTTCGTATTGAGTTTATGACGACGTTGTCGTTTACAAATATATGATGACGGCTTAGGGTCGTCGTATACCCTAAAAGGGAACACACAACTCTATTGGTGGGAATTCTCGTAATTATCACCCTAAGCGGGACCAAAACACTGATTTCAAACCCTAAACGGGACGACGAGGACCCCCGCCCTTTTATATTAAGGAGATCCCCCCCGGGATAGATTCATTCAATGTCACAGAAAACGAATGAATAGTTTCTCTAAAGCAGTTGTTTCGTTTGACAGTTTAAAGTTCATTATAATACTCGGCCAAGAGGCAGTCCACTTCACGTTTACAAGAAACAATGAATCGYACAGCTTCAGCACTGTGAGGGTTGGGACGAGGAAATGCGAAGGGGCTCATAACACAAACTCATAAACATTCTCGCTAGATTCCATTCCTTCTCCATGTTCAACTACATGTGACAAGGTCATGATTCCCATATTTGGAAATTGCGTGAGCGATCACGTTTGTAGCGCGCGCTTTGCGCAAGTAAATCAGTTCTGCTCCAGATTCGGTCGTGTTTGGTTGTGTTTTTCTCTCTGTGTGTTATCTTTCTCCAACAACTTATATCGAACCTACAGCAAATAACTAGTACAAGAAAATCCATCACTTTTCAACCCGGTTACATACAGGCGAAACCTCGTAAATCGTCTTATTTCCAGAGTTGTGAAGCGCCATGTAATAGTCATCAAAAGTCGCTGTGGATTGTGGGCGGACGACTGTAGAGGTGTCGTGAACATTGTTATCTACATAACACTTTGAGTGTATGGCATCACTGKGAAGAGTGGTYAKYGGTATAGAGGAAAGAGACTSATAATGTTGCTCTTCATTGCTCTCTGTGGACTGTGGATTGTCAGCGGTTTCGTCTYTCTCTGGCTTGCGTTTCGATCGTTTGTGTCTTATAAAACATCCTACTGCAGTTGCTGTCACTATTACAAAGAAAACAGYACCAGCACTGATGATGATGAAAAGCAACTGTTCATCTTTGGTTTGWMTTGTCGTGTCGACAGCTGTTGAAATTAATGMAAATTCAATGTTAAGTTTCATATTTAACAGATTTGAATAAAAAGCACAACTTTATAGTTGAATGGCAACATCAATCAAATGAATTGTTATGGCATAATACATTGTGTTTCATCGCAATGCACGCCGGTAAACCCCGAGGTACAGTTACAGAAGCCATTGATGGGTGAACAGATGGCGTTATTTTGACATCCGCATTTCTTTAAACATTTGAGTCCATACGTCCCTCCTTGGCAAGTATCTTGACACCTGGAAAGAGAGAAAAGAAACGTTTGTATTGTTAGCTCTTACCCACAAGACGAGTCTCGATCAACTTTTCTTCGTAAATTGATTTCTTTGGAGTTATGTTATTCACTTTAAACGCCTTAGTATCAAGACTTAGTATTTTTGGAATATCTCATAAAAACAAGTTATTACCTGTCTCCTATGTAACCAGGCTTGCATACGCAAATGCCGGTCACGTGATCACATGTAGCCCCGTTCATGCAATTCAAGCATTGCTGTGCACAGCGGTCGCCGTATGTACCATGAGGACACGTTTGATTGCAGATGTCACCCTGGTGGAAAAACAAACAGAGTGAAAATGTAGAGTCACGCAGCCAAAAAAATTGCGTGACAAACTGCAAACAAACAATGAAGTAAATAAATCAAGAACCATGAAGCAAACAGAAACGGAACTGATTTTAGTAATGCTTACAGTCCACCCTGACGAACAATAGCACGTGCCATTCACGTGATCACAGACGGTATTCTCTTGACATGCGCATTGGAAAGTACAGTTCTGACCATAAGAACCGGAATAACATGGCATCTCACATCTACATAAAAAAACAGTCCAATTGATGTTTCACTGTTTTGTTAACATCAACAACAATCCAGATGCTTACAATTACAAAATTATTAATTAACTTTTTWTTTATTTGTCTCTTTTACCTTTCACCGTGATATCCTGGTGCGCATGTGCARTTTCCACTAATGACGTCACAAACTGCACCATTTTGACATTGGCATACACTTTGACACTTGTCTCCATAGTAACCCTGATCACATGGTTTATTACAATACTTTCCCTCCCAGCCTGGGGTACACGAGCAGTTGCCAGTATGAGGTGAACATGTAGCGTTGTTTGTACACAGGCAGTCGTACTTGCAGTGGGCACCCCACTTGTCTGGCGGGCAGTCTGGACAAAATTGGTGTTTCTCGTGAGTTAATTAGATAAAGTATTTTAAACCTGCGCATTTGATATTGTTTTCCATACCTATGTCACACCTGTTTCCATAGTAACCAGWATAACACGAACAGACATTGGGTCTTGTGCAATTGCCGTGGACACAACTTTGTCTGCAAATGGCTGAAAAAAAACAGAAAGTTCTCATGACACTTGCTTTTGTTCTTCAGTTCCGACAAACAACAATACGCTGCAATACATACTCCATCTTTTTATCATTTTCATTATTAAACATRCTCCTTTGACATTACTTACTTAAATAGCTTTCAACTAACCATTAGGACATTCGTTCCGTACTTGTCTCCATCCAGTGCAGCATCCGTACTCTGTTTTGTAAGATCGTCTTGTTTCTTCACGGTATTTGGTATAATATGCTGCCCTTGATAAAYCCATGAGTTAAGATACAAGATGTTATGATAAAATTCAAGAGATGAAGTATCATTTTTAAGAGAAAATCAACGTTAAATCGTATGCAAATCAGGACAAAATCTGTTGCTCATACCTGTAACGTGTGCATCGCGACCACTTCCCACACGACGTTGTGTAACTAACCGTTCTTGTGTACATATAAGAAGCCGTGTAGTTATAGTAATAGCTTTTACAAAACAAATGTTGATTTGTTAAGGAACTTATTACCACATATCCACACATGTATTTTGTTTTTATTGCAATTTTATCGAATATAGAAGAAATGCAAAAGGGTTATATAAGTGATGAAAATACAAAATGTAGCCGGAGCCGCTAAGTGTGTAGATGGAGTTTACAACAAAAATATGATTCCGAGCTTTCGCTGTCTACAGCATCATCAGGGAATAGGCGAGATAGACACTTAGCGGCTCCGGCTACATTTTGTATTTTCATCACATCAGTCAACTATGCTGCTAAAGGATAACTTTCAACGGTTATATAAGTCTTCTTCGAGTCGTTTCTTCCGCCATCTTGAAAGGTAAATAAACAGCGGTGTCTTTGCATCAAAGTGATACGACCGTTGAGCGTGAAATGATAGATACCTGTGATTAATTCCTAATAGATGTGACTGAAAGTTTTTATCATTGCACACTCACTGGTCATCTCGCTTTGATACAGTTAAAGCACACAATACGGTTTTTTTTTCTTGAAGGCGCAGGAAACGGTTCGGAATAGTATCGACTATCGATTCAGCTCTAGTGCACAAGTGCAAGAATTCTTTCAACAACAGAAAGAGGTAATTAAACTAAGGGTAAAAAACGATGGTACATAACATAAACTGCATAATACCACGACGCTCATGCTCATTCAYTCTTAATGGGCATAATAAACGACAAGAGATCGTCCAAAAATGCAAGAAGAGGTTTAACCCTGTTTCACCAAAGAACGATCTTAGCGCTTATTSTAGTGAAAATATTTTGAAATTAAAGTTTTTTTTCTTTTTAACAGAAAATGAAATRCCAGTAAAAATTTCTCAAGATAGGCTGTTTGACTTAATTGCTTCAAACGCTGATTCGACGTTCAGCCCAATTGATCTCAGATGCAAAAAGTGAAATTCCTCCTGTATGTACTCACACACATTTTGAAAACTGATTCATCTGGAAACTTTTCAAATATATTCATATATATTGAGAAAGACGTCACTCTAAAACTACACTTTTCAAGCACATTTTTGGATTCGTTTTCCTAATGTTTTCGAAATACTTATGATTCGAAATATCCAACAAGCAGACAAGAAAGATTGTCTCACCTCACATTTTCCCGCATACATTTGCTCCTTCTGAATCTAGCCACAATGTTTTTGCGTCAATATTTAGCACAATTAACAACACTAGATAACCACTTTCAACTAAACCATCAGGGCGGATGATTTTTGGGGCCATGTGAGAAAACTTGTCGTTAAAAGATCAACTGAAACAAGATACCGAAAAAAGCGAAAGAAGCTTGTGGTTTTACTCGCTGCCGGCTCTCTCGTTCCGTGAAAGTAGATGTCAAAGTTGACAATTTAGACAGCTGTATGTCATAAGGATGTGCCGRGGAAGTACAGCATACCTGATATTCGGCTTCAACTGAATTAATCCAGTTTCGAATCTGTTAAGGGCAATTTTGGATTTTGAAAAAACGATCATTGCCCGYGCTTTTGTCGGGAAAACACACGCTAAAACTCATTAAAACAAGGTGAAGCTACTAGACAATACTTTATTTCAGTTAACCCTTACTAGTGGAAGTGTACCGTTAAAGAGAAGATAAGAAAACTAAAATTATAACACTATACTATCATAATATCATTGTATGAAGTAATCTTGTAAAAACGTCGGCAAGATAGCTATCACAAGATTCTTCACCACGCCCCGACCAATTGGATAGCGAGGATATGGATTCTGAGAGATTACTGCATCGATGTAAGCATCAGTCACCAAATTTGTGTCGGATCGTTTGGTATAAGTTTGCAAGCTTTTTTGAACTGTTGAAATTAAAAGCATTAATCAATTAAATATGGAGAACGAGGGGAAGTCAGTGTAAAGTAGAAAAAAAGAGAGAGAAAGGAAGGGAGTTGGAGAGAAAAAGAGAGGAAGGGAGGTTGAAGAGAAAGAGAAACAAGGGAGGAGAAGGATCAGGGAGTTGAAGGAAGGGAGGGAGGTCCGGGGGAGGGAGGGGGAAGGACATCGAGATCATGATTGATCGAACTTGCGTACATACATCGTTCAAAGTACTCCAGGCCGTATTCACATCTCATTTCGTCAGTGAGGTTGTTCCATAAKGTGGTCAGTTTCTTTGTTGCCAAATCTTTCCATAGTAACGTATTGAAGGCTGGTGGTTCGATGATAGAGACTTTTACTCCAAAGCTCTTCATCTCCCGTCGAAGTGCATCAGAAAATGCTTCTATGCCATATTTTGAAATACAGTACGGGGCTCGACCAGATGCGCAATATAAACCTAGAAAAAAAATCATACATACGAACGAATGAAGTAATAAAATATGAGAAATGTTTCGTCAATTAATTAGTTCTTGCCTGCCAAACTGGACATGTTGACTACACGACCTTTTCCTTTTTTGAGCAGCGGTAGAAAGGTCTTTGTAACTTCAATGACGCCCCAGAGGTTRACATCTGCAATGTACTTGAATTCTTCCATGCTGACCCACTCAAGCGGAGCGAGAGTCATGATACCAGCATTATTGATAATGGCCCACAAACCTGTAGCGTTATTCGAGACAAAACGTGTATGTTATTTTTTGCACMCTACAAAACTCATACAAAAACTGCTTGCATAAAAATATATTTGCATGTCATGTCAGACTTGCCAGTCTGGTTCGAGACGTACGCATGCGCAGTACGTTTTATCCTGAGGGTCTCAATGGGGTTAACCGTGAGCCGTGAAGCGGCTAAAAAATTAGCCGTGAATCGTAAAAATGAGAAAAATTA